AGAATACTAAATGAATTCAACATAAGTTTCTTTGGCACGTTGTAGCCAAATTGATAAAAATCAAAGACAAAATTTAAAAATGGTTAAAGAGAAATATCAAGTTACTTACAAGGGCTAACATTAGATCTCTCAACTGCAACAATGTAGACAAGGCAACAAATGAAAGAAAGACATTTTTAAAACTCTTAAGGAAAAAATATATATTCAGCTAAGAACATCATACTGAACAAAATTGTTGTTAAAATGGAAAAGAGAAATAAGATCATTCCAAGAAAAAATATATCAACACTAGACTAGTTCTCCAGGAAACGCTCAAGGGACTACTACGTTAGGAAAATGAAAGAAAAAAATGCTCAGAAATAAGAGAACACAATATAACTAAAAAATTGACTAACAAAATGACAGATAACTCCACACTTACTATTAATAATGCTGAATGTAAATGGATTAAATTTCCCAATTAGAAGACACAGACTAACTTAATGCATAGAAAAATTGTAAACTCTCTCTATATGTCTTACAAGAAACAAACTACATTGATAGTGATATACATAGACTGAAAGTAAAGGGCTAGGAAAAAAAAAAAAACAGTTCATATAAACAGAAACCAAAATGAAAGGCCAGAGTAGTGATACTGATATAATACAAAATAGACTTCAAAATAAAATAATAAAAATAAACAAAGACAGACATTGTATAGTATTAAAAGAATGAATTCACTTAAGGCATAATTATAAATATTTATTCACCCAATACTGGGGCATCATAATAGGTAAAAGGAAGACTGCTATTTCTAAAGGGAGATATTATGTGCAACACACTAATTGTTAGAGATTTCAACATCCCACTGTCACCACTGGACACATCATTTGAACAAGAACTAGACAGAGACATAGGTGCTAATTAATAGCAAAGAACAAATGTATGTAAGAGATATTTATGAAACATTTCACTCAGTAACTACAAATTGATTATTTCTCATCCCCACATGAAACATTTTCAAAGACTGGTTGCATAACAGACCACAAAACAAGCCTCTACAAATTTAAATGTATGAAAACTATATCCAGCATCTTCAATGATTACAATAAAACTAAACTTGAAATCATTCACAGAAAGAGTCTTCAAAATATATACAAATCTTGGGACCAACAGTTAGCATAATGGCTATGTTGTTGGACTCCCATGTAGTCGACCGCGGTTCTCGTCCTGGACCTGGTGGTTTAAAACTCATGGCAGGCGGGTGTGTGTGTGCACAAGATCCCGAGAGGAGAACGGAGGAGAAGAAATTGCAGCGTGACCATCCCCCATGAGGGTGATTTCTCTCTTTCTGTCGCCCTATAGCAAAAACCTCTCCAAATATATATATATATAAAAGAACTTATTACTAAATTATTTCTTTTTTTTATGTTGACATTTTCTTTATTACATCATTTATTATTATCATTATTTTTTGGAGAGGTTTTTGCTATAGGGTGCATGCGCTCACCAGACAGACAGAGAGAGACAGAGAGACAGAAAGCAAGAAATCACCCCCCAGGCGGGATGGCCACACCACAGTCTCTTCTCCTCCATTCTCCTCTTGGGATCTTGGGCATGCATGCACACGCACCCAGCGTGAGTTTTAAGCCACTTGGTCCAGGACTCGAACTGCGGTTGACTACATGGGAGTCCGGCGACATAGCCATTATACTAACTGCTGGTTTCTATTATTATTTTTTTATACATTCAATCATTATACATCATTTAGTTGGTAAAGAGATTTTACCCAACATGATATATACCACACAGCAGGTGAGTTGATAATACTATACACGACATCTCCAACAGGCAATAAACCATATCTGTGTCCTACAAAAGTCTTACTTCTCCAATTTTGCCCAAATAATTCTTTCTTTACTCTTCCCCTCTCCCACTCTCCTTCCACTTTGTCCTAATGTCCATAAAAATTTTCAATGCTTTTATGTCCTCCAGTCTTTCAGTCTCTAGCATACAATGTAAAGTCAGTATATATTAAATGGAGACATACAATGTCTGTTTTATAGCCTGACTTACCTGACTTGCTTCACTCGAGAAATCTATCTTCGTCCACTTTCTATCAAATGTCAGGGTCTTGTTTTCTATGGTTAAATAGTAATCAGTGGAGTACATGTGCCACACTTATTCAATCCATTCTTCTGCTTGTGGACGTTTGGGTTACTTTCATGTCTTAAAAATCATGAATAATGCCACAATAAATATAGTCATGCAAGCTCTTTTCTGACAAAGTGTTCTCTAGTCCTTTGGGTAGATACCCAGCAGTGAAATTGCTGGATCTTACCGTAGTTTTATTTGAAGGCCTTTGAGGAACCTCTATATTGTTCTCCACAGAGGTTTGACCAATTTACATTCCAACCCACAATATAGGAGAGTTCCCTTTTCACCACATCCCCTCCAGCACTTATTATTTATTAATCTTTCCCATTTTGACTTTGGTTATATGATATCTCATTGTGGTTTTGATCTGCATCTCCCTTCTGATGAGGAGTGCTGAGAATTTTTTTCATATGCTTTTGGCTGTTTGTATGTCTTCCTTAGAGCGTTGTATATTCAACTCATTTTTTTTCATCTTTTAGTTGAGTTAATCATTTTCTTCCAGGTAAGCTGCTTGAGTTCCCTGTGTATTGTGGTTATGAGTCCCTTATCTGAGACATACTTAACAAAAGTTCTCCCCCATTCCTAGAGTTTTTGACTCACACTAATTACTACTTCTTTAAGTATGCAGAATCTTCTTTTTCTGATGTAATCTCACCCATCTTTTTGAGGATTATTGCTTGTGCTTTAGGGTCTTCCTTAAGAAGTCTTTGCCAGGAACCAGCAGTTAGCGTAATGGCTATGTCGCTGGACTCCCACGTAGTTGACCGTGGTTCGCGTCCCGGACCCAGTGGCTTAAAACTCACACCGGGTGCATGTGCGTGCGTGCCCAAGATCCCAAGAGGAGAATGGAGGAGAAGGGATTGCAGCATGACCATCCCCCCAGGGGGTGATTTCTCACTTTCTGTCTCTATGTCTCTCTCTGTCTGTCTGGCGAGCGCTCTTGCCCTATAGCGAAAAAAACCTCTCCAAAAAAAAAGAAGTCTTTGCCTACCCCAATCTCTCCCAGAGTTTCCCCAGCGTTTTCAATCAGTAGTTTTATAGTTTGCAGTCTTCAGTTTTGATGTTTGATCTACTTTGATTTGGTTTTTGTTAATGGTGACAGATAGGAGTTCAGATCCATCTTTGTGCAGGTGGATACTCAGTTTTTCCAGCACCATTTTCTAAGAAGGATTTCTTTTTCCCACTGAATTGTCTGGTACCCTTTGTAAAAGATCAGTTGGCTGTATGTTTTGCAGTTTGTTTCTGAGGTCTCTACTCTGTTCCATTGTTCCTCTTGTTGGTTTTTGTGCCAATACCATGCTAATTTAATTATCACAGCTTTGTAATATGTTTTGGGTTCAAGAAGAGATAAGCCACCCACTCCACTCTTCTTGCACAGGATGGTTTTGGAAATAAGTGGTCTTTTATGATTCCAGGCAAATTCTGATTGTCTTTTTCTAGATCTGTGAAGAATGTCTCTTGGAATTTTACAGGGATTACATTAAATATGTAGATTAATTTGGGTAGGGTTGCCATTTTATGTTAATTTGGCCAAACCAGGAACATGGGATGCCCTTCCACTTTTTTGTATCCTTTTCAATTTTTTTAATAAGATTTTCATAGTTTTCCTTATAAAGGTCCTTAACTTCCTTGATTAGTTTTATTTCTAGGTATCATACTTTACTAAGTTACAGTAAATGGGATTACTTTCTTCAGTTCTGTCTCTGTCTGCTTGTTTGTATATAAAAATGCTATAGATATTTGTAAGTTAATTTTCTATCCAGTTACTTTACTGAATGCATGTACCACTTTAAGAACTTTCTTTGTGGACAGTATTCTGTCTTCCGTGTATATAATCATGTGATCTGCAAACTGAGATAATTTCAGCTCCTCTTACCTTTTATTTCATTCTGTTGTCCAATTGCATTTGCTAGAAAAACAGTACTATATTGAATAGGAGTACTATATTGAATAGGTATGGAGAGAGTGGGCAGCCTTGCCTTATACCGTTTTCAGTGGAAAAGTTTTCAGCTTTTTCCCATTCAGTATAATACTTTCTATAGGTTTTTTTCATAGATGGCTTTTATTATGCTGAGAAATGATCCTTCTATGTCTATTTTACTGAAAGTCTTAATCATGAAGGAATGTATTTTGTCAAATGAACTTTACACTTCTATTGAAATGATCATATGATATTAACTTTCTTTCTGTTAATATGGTGTATTATGTTAATGGTTTTGTAGATGTTGAATCACTCTTGTATCCCTGGGTCAAAGCCTAACTGGTCATAATAAATAACATTTATTTATGCGCCATTGAATACAGTCAACAAGTGTCTTGGTGAGAATATTTGTATATATATTCATCAGATATAGGTCTGTTGTTTTCCTTTTTGTCATATCCTTATTCGCTTAGGAAATGAGGGTGATGGAGGTTTTATAGAATCAATTTGGAAGGATTACTTCATTTTAGATCTCTAGAAATATTTTGAGTAGAATGGGGATTACCTCTTCTTTAAAAGTTGTGTAGAATTCAGCAGTGAAGTCATTGGAACCTGGACTTTTTTTTGTTGGGAGATTACTTATTACTGATTTAATCTCATTGCTTGTTGCAAGTCTATTCATGCTTTCTCTGTCCTCCTGAGTCAATATTGGTAGACAATATGTGTCCAGAAATTTGTCCACCTCACTCACGTTTATTTTTTATTTTTATTTTTTGGCATATAGTTGCTCATAGTATCCTCTAATGAAGTTTTGTATTTCTACTGTGTCTGTTGTAATGTTGCCTGATTTATTGTGAATTTGATGTATTTGCTTCCTTTCTCTCTTCTTCTTAATTATTCTAGTTAATGGTGTGTCAATCTTGTTTATCTTTTCAAAGAACCAGCTTTTGCATTCATTTATTTTCTGTGTAGTTCATTTATATTCTATTTCACTTATTACTGCTTGAATTTTTATTATTTATTTTCTCCTGGCATATTTTGGATTTTTTGTTGTTCTTTTTCCAATTCCCTGAGGCATGATATTAGGTTGTTCTATGTCCACCTTTCCATCTTTTTCTTATGTGCATCAATTGTTATGAACTTTCCTCTTATGACTGCTTTTACAATCTCATAGATTATGGAAACTTGTGTACTCATTATCATTTGTTTCCATGAATCTTGATTTTAGTCAATCTCTTCAGTAGACATGAAGTAATTCAGAAGTAGGTTATTTAGTTTCCATGTATTTGTGGATTTTTGTGGATTTTTCCTGTGATTAATATAAATTTTAATTTCATATCAGTCAGAAAAGATGCCAGATACAATCTCTATGTCCTTGAATCTGTAACAGCTGGTTTTGTGCCCTCTCATATGGTCAAGCTTTGAGAAAGTACCATACATGGCTGAGAAAAATGTATATTGTGTGATGAATAAAAAATAATTTAAACCAAGAATACTATACCTGGCAAGATTATCTGTCGTATGGGAAAAAAGGATAAAAAGCATTCTCAGATAAACAAAATCTGAAATAATTTATCAACTCCAGACCAGCTCTTCAAGAAGTTCTGGAGGGAGTGCTTTATCAGGAAAACTAAAAAGTCAGACGGACTGTTATAAGAGAACAAAATACAACTAAGAAAATGACTCACTTAATGACAGGAACAGGTCCAGAAATATCAATAATAACACTGAATGTTAATGGAATAAATTCTAAAATTAAGAGACACAGACTGGTCAAATGGCCAAATGGATAAACAAACAAACAAACAAACAAACAGAATCCCTCTATCTGTTGCCTCCAAGAAATGTGCTTTATGGATAAAGACATATATTGAGTAGGAGTAAATGGCTGGAAAAAGATACTCCATGCAAATGGGAATCAAAAAAGAGCTGGAGTTATGATATTGATTTCAGGCAAAATAGGCTTCAAGACAAAGACTATAAGAAAAGACAAAGAAGGGCATTATATAATAGTAAACAGGTTAATTCAGCAAGAAGACATAATGCTTATAAATATCTATGCACTCAACTCAGAAGGACCTAAAAATGTGAAGGAAAGACTGCTAGAGCAATTGGGGATCTCAACACCCCATTATGTCCTTTAGACAGATTGTCTGTACAAAACATAGAGATACAGGACCTAAATGATACTATAAATCAAATGGACTTGATAGATATCTATAGAACTTTCTACCCTAAGACCACAAAATATATATTTTTCTATCCTGGCATGAAACCTTTTCTACGAATGACCGTATCATAGGACACAAATCAATCCTTTACATATTCAAAGGCATAGAAAATATATCCAGCATCTTCTCTGAGCATGATGGAATTAAACTCAATATTAATTTTAAGAAACACTCTCAAAAATACACAACACATGGAAACTGAACAATCTACTTCTGAATGACTTCTTAGCTACTGAAGAAATTAAGTCTCAGATAAAAAAATATGAAAACTAATGACAATGAGTACACAATTTTCATAGTCTATGGGACATGGCAAGAGGAGTCATAAAAGGGAAATTTATAACTATTAGTGTACTGACTATCTACATTCTATGATAGAGATTGAAATATTGGAGGGCATAAAAGCAGAGAAAATAGTGACGCTGAAGACAGTGTGGAACAGAGAAGAATATGGAGAAGCATAGTAAGAGAATAAATAAAGAGGCATGACATCAGTAGGATACAGAAATGTTTTATTATCTGTTTATGATAACACACATAGTATTCTCAACTAGACTGGCCTGAGAAGTATTTCATGTTGGGTAAAGTATGTTTACAAGCAAAATTATAAATAGTGATTGAATGTTTAAAAAAATTAGAATAATAAAAATAATCTAGAAAAAATTGATGGAAAGCTATTTGATGATGATGATGTGGATATTAATGTCTTTGTCTTGACTGATATGCATGGTATTCCATCTGGAAAAATGACATTTAATACACTGTAAAGTTATATATGATTCAATGTAATATAAACAAGATTATGATAATAATAAAAAGCAAACAATAAAAGAAAGTGAATATTAAAAGGTAAATAATTTTCAACTCCTTAGTAACATTAGAATGTAGAACCAAGGTGCTTTTTTTGACTCAAAATTCTAAAAATATGATACAGACTTATGTGATAAAATCTTAGAAGGCATATTTCCTTTAGAACCTCTTGTGCTTTTTAAAGTTTTCAAGCAGTTTTTATCAGGTCTTATCAGAATAATGTAACACTTAGGGACAAAGATGCAGCATAGGAGCCCTGCGCTGGAGGCCAGTATGGAGAAAACCTCCACAGCTACCATAAACTTCCCCTTGGTGCTGTGGTAGACAGGGAGGAAGGTGACCCAAACACTGCAGAACACCAGCATGCTGAATGTGAGGAATTTGGCTTCATTGAATGTATCAGGCAGGTTCCTGGCCAGGAAAGCCACAGTGAAACTTCCTACAGCCAAAAAGCCCAAGTATCCCAAGACACAGTAGAAGGCAGTGAATGAGCCCTTGTTACACATTATGATAATATGTCTGGGCTCAGAGAGTGAGTCTATGTCAATGAAAGGGGGAGAAGTTCCCAGCCAGATCCCACAGATTATCACTTGAATCAGGAAGCAGATGGGAATGACAAAGTTAGAAGCCCCTGATAGTAGCAGCCACCTCATTATTCTTCCAGACTTCATGACCTTGAATGCCAGAACCACGGTAATGGTTTTGGCCAGAACAGTGGAAACAGCCACAGTGAACACAAGTCCAAATGTGACTTGTTGAAGGATGCAGGTGACTGTGTTAGGATGGCCAATGAAGAGCAAGGAGCAGAGGAAGCACAAGAGGAGGGAAATGAGTAGGTTGAAGCTGAGAGTCCAGTTATTGGCCTTGACTATGGGAGTGTCTCTGTGTTTTATGAAGATCCCCAAAACCACAGCTGTGACCCCAAAAAAGCATACCACAGTACAGGCCATGGATATCCCCAAAGCATCCTTGAAATTCAGGTACGTCACAAGCTTGGGGAGGCATTGAGTTCTCTCAGCATTTGGATACTCTTGAGCTGGACACTGGACACACTGCTCTGCATCTGATGAAAAAGCCAAGACCCACATTCCACATGAACAAATTTTTTGTCTTTGTCATGTTGAAAGAAATGATCATCTTTAAGTCAATTTGAGTACAAACAGCTCTGATATAATGCCAAAATACACCAAATTAAGAATCTACATTAATGACTCCAGAATTTTTTCATCTTCAGGTAACCCAAGCCCATTTAAACTGGATTTCAGCATATAAGGATCTTTGTTGACTCATTTTGTGGCTCAACAATGTTAATAACAAGGATGTGCATTTATTCCAGATCTGTTTTATACTTTTTAAAAAATTTTCTTCATGATAAGCCTTCATATTTTCCTGTTATGTTATGTATGTACGTATGTACATATTTATATTGTTCTTTTATTATTTTATTTTTTATAATAAGCCTTTTATTACCATAGGTTTTTTATCAATATGAGAGAAAATAATTTTCTTACTGTTATTTAGGGAAAAAGTAAACTTTACCTTGCTTTTCTGAAATATTTTAATTTTTATCCCTATCCTAATTTCTACTGACTTTATTTTTACTTATGACATATCACCTAATAACACAAGACTTTTATGATTGCACTTTTTAATTTTTCTGTCATGATTCTGGTTTATTTTCCCATGTAAATATGGAAAGAAATTTCATCAAATTTGAAGCTTTTTTTTTTTTTTTAAAGAGAGAAAGTGAGAAAGCAAGCCACCAGGTTTGGGACTCAAACCACAGTTGGCCATGTGGCAGTCCAGTGCCTTAACCATGACACCACCTGCTGGCCCCCAATTAGGCCTAATTTCATGAAAGAAAGGGACTGTTTCCTCTCTACATCCCCATGTGCAATGTGCTTGATAAATGTTTGTTAAATAACATAAACTATGCTTCACATTTTTTTGTATCATTACCACACTTCAAATGGTGTTTTGGGTTTCTTTTTTTTGGGGGGGGAAAGATGTTTGCTATAGGGTGCATATGCTCACCAGAAAGACAGAGAGAGAGAGAGGGAGTACAGTGACATAGTAATTACGCCAACTGCTGGTCCCCATTTCTGTTTTTTGAGAAACTAGTATTTTAATTATATAAATGTGGTACGCATTTTTTTTTTTTTTTGGAGAGGTTTTTTCTCTATAGGGCGCGTGCGCTCGCCAGACAGACAGGGAGCAAGAAATAAAGGAGAAAGCGATAAATCACCCTCCAGGAGGGGTGGTCACGCCGCAATCCCTTCTCCTCCATTCTCCTCTCGGGTTCTTGGGCGCGCACGCACATGCCCCCGGCGTGAGTTCTAAGCCACTGGGTTCGGGACGCGAACCACTGTCGACTATGTGGGAGTCCAGCGACATAGCCATTATGCTAACTGCTGGTTCCCTGGTATGCAATTTTTGATGTTTTCATTATTTACACCTGGAAGCATGGTTGGCTAACCACTTTTGTATGTGGTAGGTAACAAATATTTTACCATTGTGTATTACAAGGTCTTTCTCTGCTGAAACTTCTCACCTCTACTGTTAAATAGTAGGAAAATAGTGATACAGCATATGGAAATTAATGTGCATGTCCATGTTTCAATTAAATTTTATTTACAGAAATGTATGGTAGCTTTCCTACTTGTTTCTTTTTTTCATTTATTTTATTTTTTTAGACATTCACAGTTAGTTTACAAAATGGATATTTGAACAGGTGAACATTTCTCCCTAGTCCATTTGATAAAACTAAAAAATATCTTCAACAGATAATACCACATTCATTTGTCCCATTAATGCTTTGCCTCCCCATTTTTCTTCTAAATATCCTTCCTCAGACCCTTCACTTTCACACACATTTTATCTGGTATTTACCTACATCATAGAGTGCAGACACTTGGTATATATTAAGTGGGGGCATACAATGCCTCTCCTTCATAGCCTAACTTGCTTCACTCAGCAGTAAATCTTTCATATTCACCCACTTTCTGTCAAAAGCCAGGGTTTTCTTGCAGGTTTTTTTTTTTTTTTTTGCCTCAATAGTATTCCATAGAGTATATGTGCAACAGTTTTTCGATCCATTCATCTGTTTGTGGACATTTGTACTTCTTTCTTAAGGTTCTAGATTTTTAGGTAATACTGATTGCAGTGGTAGCGTTTCCTCAAAAAGATAAAAAGTGGTAGTCTATCACATTATTTTCTTGAATTATCCATTTCTAATTCTAGAGTGAGCAAATGTTCCTGCCTTCTGTTACAGAGAGAGACTTGAGACACACGACATGGGTAAATTGTATTTTAGATCCAATCCCTCTCTGTTTCTTTTTCTCTTTTTGTTTTACACATTTATTTGGTATTGCATATCTTTCAGGAGATAATATTTTTCTTGTCTTATTATTACCTGAAATGATCTAATCTTACTACTGATTAAAACCAAATGATTTATGGCTTAGTAGGATTCTATATTAAAAAGTACATTTTGTATGCTCTAATTATATACAGTGAATGAATATAAGACAAACAACAGCAACAACAAAATCCCAAATGTTTTATACTGTAATAATCACTGGAATTGCATAATATGTAGAGAAGAATTCAAATTATTGTAATATTTATTTTTTTATATTTTAGAAAAAGGAATCATAATTTAAAAGATATTTCAACAATTAAATTACTATCCAACAATATCACACTTTATTTTAATATATAATTTTTAAATTTATATATTTTATAATAGTTTCTGAGATTCTAATTTGTGAAACTTACTGGAATAATGTGTTTAGTTTTTTAAAGCATGTCTTTTCCTTATACTATAATATTTGAAAGTGTAGAGTTCTGATAGTAGTTAATTTTGTTTATTTAACACATTGCACAGCTTTCTGAGTATGGTTGAAAAGTTTTGAAACATTTTTATAATACTTTTTCTGTACTTGCTTGTATTTATCATCTGGGCATAACTTGTGTTATTTTAATCCATGAAAGCCTTGATGGTTCCACACCCTCAATTTTCTGTGTAGAATTTAGCATTGTCTTCTATGAGTTCTAAGATCTACAGTGTCTTACCAAGCAATGGATTACAAAGAAGGTTGGCCACTGAAATCAGTTTCAGAGTTGAGTCTGATAGGATGAACATATTCAGAAAAGAGCTGATGTATAGTAAAGTAGCAATAGTATTTATAAAGTAATTACATAGAGGGGTCAGCAGGTGGCATAGTATTATGGCACCGGGCACCCACATGACTGATTGCAATTAAAGTCCCAGTCCTGGTGACTTGAGACTCACACCAGGTATGTGTGTATGTGTGCCCAAAACCCCAAGAAGAGAATGGAGAAGGGATTGTGGCATGGCCATCCTCCTAAATGGTGGTTTCTTACTTTCTCTCCATAAATCTCTGTGTCTCTGATAAGCACATGTACCCTATAGCAAAAATCTCTCTCTAAAAAAATTATTTAATAAAAAAAATAAATAACTATATTGAGGCAATGAGTGAGCATGTAAATTGAGAACAGTGGTGCTCAATAGTTCATTTCCAATGTTATTGGTCTCCTTTTCATTGAGCAATTGTTACAAAATAATTTTATCATAGAGTTAATTCATACTTTGTACCTGTTATATTTGAAATGTCTCTCTCAGTACAAGAAACACAAACAAAGCAGCAAACAGGTCTTCCTTCCTGAGGAATTTTTTGGAATCCAGGACCACAGCTATGGCTACACAGAGATTCAGGAGTCTGAGTGGCAAAAAGAATCACTAGTCATAATTATATACAGAATCAGCTATTTTAAAAATATGTCTACATTTCTCTCCATCTCTAAGAAAACACCATTATTTAATAAATTTTGGTCAATAATGAACCACATATAAGTTACTGGTCCCATAAAATAAGAGATTATACAAATTATTTGTGTACCAGGAAATGTTATTTAAGCTTGTGGAAGTTCAATCTATGATGTTTACAGAATGACAAAATTGCCTAAAGATGCATTTGTCACACAAATTTTTATTATTAATTACTGTTTGACTGTGCATACATATTCATCATTGTGGTGATTATATTCATTGATATCCTGCTTCAATAAAAATACAGAAATTAGAAAGAAAATAGCTTATAGGGGGCAACAAGTGGCATGGAAGATAAGGCAACTGGATTCTATGTGTGCAACTGTATTGTCTAATTCTCAAACCAGCAGCTTAAAAAACATGCTTAATGTGTGTGTGTGTGTGTGTGCGTGTGTGTGTGTGCACACACGGCCACATGCGCCCACCCAGAATCCCAAGTGGAGAATAGAGAAGAAATTGTGGCATGACCATCCCCCAAGGGGTGATTTGTCACTTTCAGTCTCTCTCTAGCTCTTGTCATTGAGCACATGTACCCTATAGCGAACTAAAAATAAAAACTTAAAACTTAAGTGCAAAAGTAGTAGCTTATAAATGCAATTATAGTTTAGAATATGTATTAACTAAATCACATAGTATAAAGTCAAGATGGGTTTAATGTTGAAATAAAGTACTCACACAATTATATATCAGAACTCTGTTAAGATAATTTTATATAAAAGTATAAAATATTATATTAATATTTAACATCAAAGTGATTTCATACCTCTTTGAAACTAACTGGCCATTTTATAATCTCTTCATTGACAACTAAGCCTTGATTATGGGGACTCCTGTGGACAAAATCTCCTACTTTAACCAGGAGCCAGCTCTGATTAGGAAATCTCACAAGGTTCTGGATATCATACTGTGCTGTATGATTTGTTTTTTCATCCAGGGGCAAGTTGTACCCAGCATTGTTTGTGAATTGGCTTTTCCTCAGAAATGGATGAAGCTGGATAAGAGGCACAATTTAGAAATTAGGAGTGTGTTTAATGTAGATGCGGAAGATCCAAACCTATCAAATAATCTTTATTTTCCACCTCTCTACCTTAGTTTTTTCTTTTTAGTAGAGGCTTAGTTTAGCTTTGATGGTCACTTTCTTATGACTAATGTGAGATGAACTCTTTTCCTTTATAAAAACAAAGTGGTGGTATCTTATCAAAATAATAATAATAATAGTTCTGAGATGTTGGCCACAGGTGATTGGTGCACCGGCTCTGGTAAAATCCAGAATAATAAAGACAGGTTTGGAATTCTTCAAATTTAATCTTGTTATTTTAAAAAGGGCATAATATAAATGGATGGACCAGTTTCGTTTCTTGACATAAATGTATGCGTTTATGTTCAGCCAAATATTGATATATACATTAACCATAGGCCGTACTTTGTATACAAATCACACCTCAAAAGATTTTAAAAGAGGACAAATGTAGGGACCAGAAGATGGTGTAATGGTTGTATCACTGGACTCCCATGTAGCTGACCATGGTTGGTTCAAGTCCTAGACCTGGTGGCTTAAAACTCATACTGGGCGTATGTGCATGCATGCCCAAAATACTAAGAAGAGAATGGTTGAGAGGGGATTGTGGCACAGCCACTCCCCCTGGTGGTGATTTCTCACTTTCTGCCTTTCTGTCTCTCTCTGGTGAGCCCAAGTGCCTTATAGCAAAAATCTCTCTTAAAAATAAAGAAGACAAATGTATTTTTACGTTAATTAAAAAAAATGATCGAATGTTATTATCATGTGACATTAATAATATAAGATAAACTTAAAATCCTTGAAGTCTAAAGAAGATTTAAAAAGCATTTGGGGATAATATTCTGTTGGTGACAATAATTAACTCATGGTTCATACAAATATTAAGTCTTTTACTTTTTGAAATAGAAGCAACCTAAGTAAGCCATAATCAAACCTAGATGCTCATCTTTATGAAAGACACCTGATTTTCTAAGAGGCAACTTCAGACCATCTTAAAGTTCAAATCTGATGTTATTATTGTTAGAACAAATACAAAGTGGATGGTAAACTGAACTTCCTGGGGTTAATTTTTTTATGTATGGATATTACAATTACTTATTTTAGTCAACAAATAGGACTATTGTACTTGCTTTTTTTATCTTTTTTATAGTAATTTCTTATTTACATTTAATGGTCATACATACTTTTAAAATTTATTTTATTTTATCAAAGCTGGCATGTAATGTGTAATAATCAAATCAGAACTACCACCATATTTGTAATTTCCCCAAAGAGCACCTCATTATGATGTGTACTATTCATTTTGCTTTTCTGGTTTTTATTTTATCATTTTTTTAGAGGTTTTTGCCATAGGGCGCGTGTGCTCGCCAGATAGACAGAGAGAGACAGAGAGACAGAAAGCGAGAAATCATCCCCCGGGGGGGATGGGCATGCCACAATCCCCTCTCCTCCATTCTCCTCTCAGGATCGTGGGCACACACGCACACATGCCTAGCGTGAGTTTTAAGCCACTAGGCCTGGGACTCAAACCGTGGTCAACTACGTGGGAGTCCAGCAACATAGCCATTATGCTAACTGCTGGTCCCTATTTTATCTTTTTGAAATAACTATGTATAAGATAGGCAATGTCTTTTTTTAAACTCAGTTGTAGTATCTCATTTGCATAAAGATATTTTATGCATAGTTATGAATTTATATAATATACTTAGTTTAAAATACAATATTTTTTGTTAATCGGGCCTTCTGAGTTTATATGTATAATAAGAGATTCCATATTTTAAAATTGGACCACAGTTCCTGCTTCCATGATTTTTGTATACATTGTAAGTTTGGTAATGTCTAAAAATCAATTTTTTGAGAGTCTTTTTAGTATATTATGTAGAACCATTTTTGTTTTTTTCATAAGCATTACATGCAGGGATTGGGCTATTGTATCACTATAAATAAAACAACTGGAGTTGGACATGGTTATTATGTCAATATTTATTGACATTGATACATCTATATAAAACACATAAAGATTTGACAACTTAAAAATATTTCTATATATTGCCATGAGTCTTTTCTTAGACATTTTACAATACTTTATTCTACATTAGGAAATATTTTTTCCTGATATAATTACATATATTTTAATTCAATGAGAGAATTTTCTAGATATTGCAGACACTAATCTCGTCTAAAAAACAATTTCAACTCTTGATTTTGCCTAATCCTGTTGATTTTTTAAGAGAGCATTACACTTTGACAAAAACAGAGGGACAGAGAGAGACAAGTAAGTCCTCTCCATAACTTATGGTAACATTACAGTCTGTTCTCTATTTATCCCTTTTGGTGGGAGGGAGATGGAAATTGGGGGCACAAATGTATACATGCATGATGTGCCTTTCAAAACTCTGGGTCCAAAATCATTTGAACAGCTCAGCCATTTGAGATCCAGTCACCTTAACCACAGGATGGACCACTTTTGATACTGAGAAGAATACATGGTCATGATGTTGTATCTTAATAAAATACTTCCAAATGTTATCAGGTGCCAAGTGCATGTCCTGGTGTGGGGGATGTTTACCTGCCACGGAAGAACCATAACCAGGTCTGAATCTTCTGGAGGTCCTATTTCTATTTTCTGCAAAAAAACCTTGTGAAGGACTTGGGCCACCACATACACAGCATGATAGATCAAAATATTGGAGTCAAACACAGTCATCAAGTCCAAATAAGATGGTATAAACTCTAAGGAAGAATTTGGTGGGCAGTCTACAATTGTGAAACATAGTGATCTAGCAAGTGAACAATTTAAAACACCAATCCATAGTTCGCTCAATAAAAGATCTTGTGGGTGTTGGTAAGGGTTGAGTGTCTTTAGAAAATGTCTGAAACCAGGAATCTTTCTCTTCTGGTTTGAAAATAAGAGGCTTCCATGGAAAAAGTATGGCAAATTATCTGTGACAGTTAAAATGTCATCCCAGTGTGATAACTGGAGATTTCTCATGATCCACACCTTTCCCAAAATTAAATAGAATTCATTTGCCCATCCCAGGTTCCAGACACTCCCTACATCTCCATATATTATGTATACATTTGCAGATGAAACTCTGATCCTAGTCAGAAAGTTGAAATCTTTTGATGTCTCAGTACCAGTTGTGGTAGGGAGCTTTTCTGTAAAGGCCACACAGATATTTTTTTTCATCATCTCTGCCTTTAGAGTCTGAAGGAAATGCTCTCCTTGCATATCATCAGATACATAAAGTGCCACCCACATCCAGCCAAACTGCAGCAACAATGAGATGATTCCATGGGCCAGAAAGCTCTCCTTGGAGGCCATCTGATAAACTGATGAAAACAGGTCTTTATCACATAGAGTGGGATCAAAAGGACCATATGTGACCTGAGTAAGAAAAGATACAATCTCTGTGGGGTTTGGGTTTGCTCCCCTTAGACAAGAGGAAATTAATTCTCTACCAGCTCACAGGAAGAAATACTGAATGCAGAGAGGATCTATTGTGGAGATGACCATATTCTCTTATTTTGGGCATTAGAAGACTTTTTTTCAGTCCTGCTGCTAATTAGAAAAGTACATGTGACTAGTCCAGATTAATGGTATCTCTCCCAGAACAAAGAACAAAAGAAGTATAAGTTTGATACACCCTTCATCTTCTAAGGTGGTTACTGAAGGAAACATAAACTTTATAAACATGGTACAACAGAAAAATGGTGATTCTGATACCATATTTTTAGTAAGCACTTTTACTAAACTACAATCATACATAAAGTACATAAATCTTTAGTGTACAACCTGATAAATATTCATAAAGTGAGTGCAGATATGTAACCAGCACCTAGATCATGAAACAGAACATTACTAGCATCACAGAGCTCCTTTACCCTCTTCCAGTCTTTGTTGAGCTAAATAAGCCACTTGAGAAACTATATAAACAATATGGTTCCACTTACATAAAAGTCCAAAACCAGACAAAACAAAATGATGGTGATTAAATTCATAATAGTGCAACCTTTGAGAAGAGAAGTAGTGGCTGAAAGAGGGTGCTGATTTCTAACACCAGCCATAAATGTTGCCTGTTCTGACTTCACCTCAATGGGATCTACTTTTTTATGCCTAATGAAGACTATTGATGGGTGTATGCTAAAGTATTTAATTCTTACTTAACACTAAGTTATTTTTAAAAAAAATTTTGGAGAGTTTTTTTGCTATAGGGTGTGTGTGCTCGCCAGACAAACAGAGAGAGAGACAGAGAGATAGAAAGCCAGAAATCAGCCCCCGGGGGGATGGCCATGCTGCAATCCCTTCTCCTCCATTCTCCTCTCGAGATCTTGGGCACGCATGCACATGCACCCGGCGTGAGTTTTAAGCCACCAAGTCCGGGACATGAATTGCGGTCGACTACATGGGAGTCCAGCGACATAGCCATTACACTAATTGCTGGTCCCAACACTAAGTTATTTTACTGTTTAGTTTTTTTAAGAAAAATTTTTTGGACTTCCCAGATATATAGGATCTGCAAATAGTTTACCTCTTCCTTTCTAATTCTCATGTCTTCATTTTGTTTAACTTTATTGGCTAAAATTTCCAACATGTTAAGCAGCCGAGGAGCTGGGCATGTGTCTTGGTTCTGACTATTGCTGGAAAGTCTCTTATTTTCTAAAAACAAGTATTGGCTTCTGAACAGAGATCCAATGTAAATAAATTACTCATCAGTTTTCTACTTACTGACTACATATAAAACAAATGTTTTTTTCTGAGAAGATGGGGATAATCACATAATTTTTTTCTTTGACTCTCTTAATAGGAATATTAATAGGTTGTCTAATAATAAATTATTCTTGTATTTTTATAATAAGCCAAACATTGTCATGATTTCTTATCTTCTGAAAGTGCTGTTGGATTGCTTGCTGACATAGTTTTCTTTCTTTTTTTTCCTTTGGAGAGGTTTTTGTGGGACACAGACATAGTTTGTTATCTGTTTATAAGGCACATGCGCTCTCCAGAAAGACAGAGAGAGACAGAGAGAAAGCAAGAACTCACCCCCCAGGAGGGATGGGCACACCACAATCCCTTCTCCTCTATTCTCCTCTTGGGATCCTAGGCACACACACACACACGTCCAGCATAAGTTTAAGCCACCGGGTCCGGGACTAGAACCGCGGTCGACTATGTGGGACTCCAGTGACATAGCCATTATGCTAACTACTGGTCCCAGCTTGCTAAAATAGTTAAAACTTTTGCATTGATACTCGAAATTGGTCTATAATTTTCTTTTTGGTACAATCTGTGTCAGGTTTTTAAATCAATGCTGACGGGGCCATGCAGGCAACACAAGCTGGTAAGGATGCTGCCTCCCATTCTAAGGCAAGACCTGGACTGGGAAGAAACTGAGGCAAGGCCCAGTTTATGAGCTCTCCCTTGTGTCCTTGAGCTGGCCAGTATTCAATTTCTCTGCTGTGAGTTTTACTGTTATTATGGTACCCTGTAAGGGTAAAACATCACCCCCAACCATTGCAATAAAGCCAATTAGTGATCTTGTAGGAATGTGGTTCCCTAAGACTGACAGGAGGACCAGGTAGT